TATATATATATATATATATATATATATACACACACACACACTCTTACCCGATAGATTGATGATTTTTTTATTTTTAAATTAGATGGGGAGGCAGTTCGAATGCTGTTTTTACCGTGATGCAAGGTGATTTCATGAGACCTAGGATCGATGAGGTATATCATCAACTTTTTAAATTTTACCGAAAATATTTAACGGTTTTTAAATACTAATTTATCGATTTTTTGTCTGTTGATTATGTTATGCATGTGGATGTTAAAAGTTAAAAAAATGGAAATTTAGGAATTTATGATTTTTTTTTGTCGATGGGTAATCCTGAAATTGGTTTTTTTTGGGCGATTTAGTAAACTTTGTATTTAATAATTGGGGGTGGCAGGTAAATGAACTTCTTGCCAAAGGGGTGAATGTGACCATCTACAATGGGCAAGTAAGATTATATATATATATATATATATATATATATATATATATATGATCTCCACATCATGGGCACACACACACACACATACATATATAATGTTATATTGTCGTCATTTGTGGTTGTAGCTTGATGTGATCTGTTCAACAAGAGGAGTGGAAGCATGGCTTCACAAGCTCAAGTAAAAACATACTTTCACAACACTCAAAAATCTATGAATATACATTATGAAATTATATATATATATATAGCCATATATATGACAAATAAATTATTTTTTGTAATATATGATGATGAGGCAATGTAGGTGGGAAGGGTTACAAGAATTCAGGAGAATGGACAGAGAACCGATATTTTGTGGAGATGATAATAAAGCGACAAGAGGCTTCACCAAATCGCATAAAAATCTCAGCTTCTACTGGATTCTTGGAGCTGGCCATTTTGTAAGTATTACCAAAAAAAAAAAACATATCCCTTTTTAAATACTTTCACTAATTATATTTTAATACTCTTACTACATTTTTCAAATCATGTTTTAATACACCACAATTTTTTTTTACTAATTATTCGATACGATTTTTTTATTAGATAGTTAAACGAAAAACAATTTAAGATTTAAAATGTGTTGGTAAGAAATTGAGATTTTAGATCACATGAAAAGAATAGCTAATACTAAAAAGTCATATTCATCATTATGAAATTCATATAGTTTCATCATTTGCTTACTAAAAGACACTATAATTGTTGACTAAAGCATTTATAACACAATCATTACTCATCATTATGTCATGTGAACCCGCTTTGTTTTTTAAATAAAAGGCTTAGAAAAGCAGATAAAGTCCTTCATTAAAAAGATTTTTTTTTATCATTTGTATTTTCATTAACGGTCGAATAACTCTTGATTTTTTTTGTAACCCATATGAAATATAGTTATGAAATCTGAGCCTTAGGTGAAATTAGTTACAAACAGCAAACAAATAATCTATTTTTGTAACCTATATTATTTAGTACGGGTTTTAGATGAAATTACATACAGAAATATGCGTTATAGTACCAATAGAAAAGAAAACTTATTTTACCAAACAGCAAACAAATAATCTATCTTATTAGAAGTAACAAAAATGAAAATGGTGAATCCAAATAACAATTGTTTACATGAAATAGACACTTGTTCTAATGATGATATTTCGGGAAAAAATTAATCTAACAATTTCTTTTAAAGAGGGCAGTATACATTTATAGTACTAAGTATAAAACCTTATAAAATAATATCGGTTATCAATCATTCACACAGTAACGTGCTATTTATTTTTTTTTTTAAAAAGATCATACTATTTATGTGTATTATATGGGTGTATGTAAAGGCTTTGCGTGCACGTAAACACCGAAATAAATGGTAAAAATGGTAAAACGTCAGAGATAAAAAAAATCGCATGCATTTAATGCGTGAAAGCACAAGACCTGTGTCAGACAATTGAGTGGCCTTTCCTGTCTGTCCCCTTACGATATTTTTTTTGTCCTGAATTATAATTGGATTAGAGTATTATAATATAATTTATGTATTAATTATTAAATATTTTGTTGTTAATAATAATAATGATTGTAATAAAAAAACACAGGTGCCAGTGGATGAACCTTGTGTGGCATTGAAAATGGTGGAGGAGATTACAAAGTCACCGAGCACCATCTCATGAACTTCATGACGTTTATGTGTCTGTAATTGATCTCTCACCCATTGATTTGATTTGTTTTTTTTCAGACAAACGTACTGAGACGGAGTTTGTAATAATAATATTATAAGATTTTACCAATGTCTTATTTTTTAATTTTGAAATTTCATTCGGTCTGATTAAGTAAGTAAAAAAATCGATCTGATTGGATAATGATACTGTCTTGTATACCGAAAACAAAAAGGATAAATAAGTCATTGGAAGATATGATCACAATAAACAGTAAACACCCCGATCGCTTCAACAAAAAAATTAATAAATTTTTACACAAGATATTAAAGTTATATATATATATATATATACTTATGGATATACACTTGGCTAGTAACTTAATTAATTAATATACACTAAGACATTTTTTTTAATTTGGATTCGTATCCAGCAGAAGTTAGCTAGGGTTCACATAATTACTCAAAATTTAAGTATGCGTGTAAATATGATTTTGTTTGTTGGAGTTACGAAGTGGCTGAAAACAACTTCAATATATATACACACACGAAGTGATTCGGGGTATTTTTTTATATATAGAGAGTATAAGAGGGTATATATGTAATATCATGTATATATAATTAGGGTTATCTACTTGAAAATGGTCAATGTCTCGTTTTTTTTACGATAAATCCACTTGAAAATGGTACATAAAATGATTTTAAAACCTTTTTTTCAAGTTAGTTGAATTTCAAAATTTTTTTAGTGATATTTTCTATTAATGGAAACGTTGAGACCAAAGATGATCATTTCGAGTTTCGGTTTGATTATATTCGGATTAGGTTATCTAGATTATAGAAAAATGATAACCGTTTAGTTTTTACATAAACTTCAATTGGATTCGGTTTGATTATTTTTCGATTCGGTTTTGATAAAAAAAAAATCATTTTTCAAAAAAATTATCGATTTTTCAATTATTTTTTCTATTCGATTCGGTTTCGTTTTTTTTCAGATTTAAAAAAATCATAACCGTTTAGTTTTGATATCGGGTTTGACTCGGATACAGTTATATCTTATTCGGTTCGGTTTAATTATTCGGTTAATACCGGAATGGACACCCCTAGTTGAGACCCACTACAAAATGAGCATATAAAATTCCACAAATTTCGTAGCTTTCAATTTATAGAAAAGAAACTTAATATTTCAATATTCCCCACGAAGATACATTGCCATTTTTTTTCGGACACTTGATGGAGAAAAATGTATTACAAAGCCGATGTGTTTCACTGTACAAAACCTCGAGAGTCTTACACTACACCACATTATATATGTGTATATATATGTCTCACCAACGACAAGGTTCCAAGAGAAGAGCTAATCCATTTTACACCAATCAGTAGAAAGAAGAAACCAACAGAGTGGAGGCTTCTAGAAGTTTCTAGAGAGATCTACGATTCGATCTTCTCCAGAACTTCCAACCGCACCTTCCTCTTCCAACCTTTCATCGCCGCAACTAGATTTACTAACCCCGCAATCTGGCTTTTCGTGTATTCCTGCACGCCACAGAGAGGAAAAAAAACTCGACTTTCGATCAAATCCGGTTAAGCAAATCAATTTAATTTAATCGTTCCGGTTTAGGTATAAAACCGAAGATGTTTTTGGTTACCGGATGAGCTCTTGCCCAGTGGACGTATTCTGTCTCCGGTAAATAATACGCCTGCGGAAAAAAACCCGAGACGATATGATATTCGGTTAAGCATACATACATAACGAATCGCCCGAGGTCTAGTGAAATTGCATGCACTTACCTTGATAAAGGTCTCGACGATTTGGAGCTTCGGCTTCACGTTCACCGGAACAAAATGCTGAAGCCCGTTAATCAGAACCTATGATCAAATTTCTCGAGCTCATTCAACTAGCAGAATGTATCATCTTGTTTTGATTAAAAACATTGCTAGTGATCTCTAACACGTTACTAACGTTATCTATCGATACATTACAGAGAAAAATAAGCGTATCGTCTTGTGAAATTACGTGAAACTAAAATGTGGCTAATTCATAATTTCATATATACATTTTCGAGGATACTTGACTGATTTATGCTTGTCTCAGGTGAAGAACGGAACCATAAGGCCGGACAAAGGATGGAGGAAAGGGTTACCTGGAGATCCAATGACATGAGAGCACGCCCTTCGTCGGTGCATCTCTTTACTCGTGATAAACCTTCTACCAGCGTTTCCGAAACTATTTCAACTCCACATTCCAGCAGGAGATTTTGTACCTTAGGGGGGAAAAGTTGTAAAAAAAACGACATAAATTTCCCCATGGATTGTTCACGCATCAAAACATGTTCAGTTCATTTACCACCAGGTAAGAATGTGCTCTTCTTTATAAGCATATTGAGAAGAAAACTTATTTTCCCGAAATTTTTTTATGCCCTTTTTTTTTTCAATGCAGACAACAGTGGGGATCCTCCTAGGTTTACATTTCCATCTACTAGTTGATAAATAAGGAAATTGGTCACACCATGGCTCAGTGGTGAGTCTAAACTCTATGTAAAAGATCTATCAAGATTTGCAAAGTCGGATTCCAAGAATTTGATGAGGTTGGGTCAAAGGGTCCTTTACCTCCTGATGAATACCCCCATGGGCAAGCCGTGTTTTGTAGTGTTTGAATTCTCCAAGCATCAAATCAACGTACCTGTACATCGAAGAACTCATCACAGTTGTGACAATGGTGATGTAATCCCTGGCCAGACAAGACAGGAACTGATAGATAGAATCTAGTTTTTAAAGGATCAGCCCTGTAACGGATATAGCTAAATCTGGATTCGGCAATTGAATAGGTTTGCAAATAGAAACCATGCACAACATGAGTACTCCTAATACTTGTGAAGAAAGCGGCATACGAATCTGTGAATTGTTGGCAGAATGGATTAAAGGGCATATGAGAAAGAAACAAACCCATTATGCTCCATTCCAAGCTCCTTGACTTCCCATTTAGAATTAGCAATTCGATCGACATATCTGCAAAAAAACATTGAAGGTGAATGAACATACGTCCGAAATCATGAGAAAAGCACTAATATGAGAGAGATCCTGGTCACACTTTACAGCTAGGAGATGATATATATTTTCATCTGACCTAGTTTTGATGAAGTAATCGGTAAAAATGGGGACAAAGAAGGAAGAGAGAGGAGACAGGTTCAATCCATTTTAACTAAATTCCTTTGGAAGGAATCTCTAAAAGCAATTGAGGATTTACCCATTAACATGGAGCAGTATCTTTGCAGTTGTCCTGTGTATGTGCTCCGTTAGAGCAGGTACGGAATCGACCTGAGGAAATCATTCAATAAGAGTACAAAGTCTATAAAAGTGGCTCATACTAACTGGATCTTCATGATGTACAGATATGAGAAATAGTGTAAATGTATTTGAACCATCACCATATCAGTCAAACAGATAAGTAACACATATCCTCATGTAATTTCTTTCCACCACAATCAAAACATCAGAAAAAGAGGAATGTACCAGTTGACCAAAGAAGTCTTCAACCACAGCTCCATTTCTCGACATAAGCATTGATTGGAGATGAGCCTTTGATTTATGCAATATCCGGGCAACAAGAGATATAGTCTCTGCAGCAGCACATCTTTCCTGCGGGTAATGATCATGCGGCGCATAAGCCTCGTATTACACAACCATGGCATGATGAGGAAGAATGCTAACCATGCTTCTCAGACAGAGCAGAATACAGAGAGGGGAAGAAAATAACAGAAATTTAATCAGGATAAGCAAACACTGGACCAAAAACCATCTGACTTATAGTTTTCTTCACACAAGGCATGAAGCAAAACCAAAAATCCATTTGATACCTTGAGACCGAAAGACGTGCCCAATAAGTGACCAGAAATGATGTTAAGGGGATTTGAAGGTGTCACATCACTAAGACTATGGACTGCATGAGGAAAGCCCGGTAAAGAAGATGAAGATGGTGATAACCGAGGTTTTATCCACTGCTCACAATCTTGTGATATTCGAGTTAAGCTGCTCTTCAGCCGATCTGTGCATTCAGAAACCACAATTAACTTTTGTTTGTTGAACAAAACGAGTTACTCAGATATCCTAGCATATGTTAGATTTACATTCATGGCGATGGCACTCAGCCTTAGCAATGCAAACAAAGAAAAGTATTTAAACAGAACGATCACTCACGGTTGAGATAGTCAGAAAAACCTTTTCCACTGGGGCTTTCTTGACCAAATATTTCAAATACGAAATAGAAAAAAACCCCAAACAATTGGCATATTCCCTGCAAAAATTCACGCAATTGGAGGAGTTGGTTTAGAAAAGATACTTGGAACAATTATTCCCAAGGTTTGCACAAAATCATAGAGGGTACTATGGGGAATACCTTAAAGAACTCGACATTAACTATTTCCAGTTTCTGCATAAGCCTTGCATACTTATCCATTGACCTAACACATAAAAGTACAGTTAACATGCATGCACGGCAAATAGGGAAATGAAAAGGTTATGATTTAATTTTGTCAAACTGCATACCTTAGTAGACAAAGAGAAGATCCTGTTTGAGCTGTAAAATCATCATTGGTACTCAGATGGGAAGACAGACTTCTTGAATGACCATGTTTAAAGCTTCGGCTAGGAAGCTGACTATCCTCATCGATGAAGTCAGCAAGAAGGTCCTCATTTTCATCTTCTGAAACAGGACTAACTCCATTCACGCGCCTTACATCTCTCTGATCTGGAGATACACTATCCTCAAGCGTGCTATCATTTACTTCACGATCTCCAGAAGCAACTCCACTATACAAAGAGTCATCTTGACCCTCTCTATAGCAAGTTAACTTTGCTGAAAAGGGGTTTCCACTTTTCAGCCAATAAGAGAATCCACCTCTGTTGGCACTCTGAGCAACTGAGTTATTTGACATATTATTAAGCTGTAGAAAACTGGAAGAAGCAGAGGCACCACGAGAAGAAATAATCAGTGGAGCTCCATCCCCCACAAGACCAGTAAAATTAATAGCTTGCACAGTATCAGGTGGCAATTTAGTCCAAGTCTCCTTCTCCAAAACCATTTTAAGCGCCTGAAAGAGGGAAAAATAGGACAACTTTACTGCAGGGTATTACATAGGAGAGGTGATGCACGAAAAGAATAGGAGACACTGTAGTATTGATAATGTTGGCCCAGCGGATACTGTAAAGCTGGACTTACATGCATGCTTTGCCTATGAAATGAACTGAAATAAGTTTCGCATACACCCTTTAGCTTCTTCCTAAATTCAACTGCTTCAAATCCACAGAATGCTTCCCCGGCAAGGATGAAGATGTTCAGGTCTTCGTAATTTTTCAAGAACTGATGAATACTTGTTGAAGAACCAACAGGGGAAGAAAGCAAAACTGACACACGACTGGTTGTAAGTTGCCAGAGATTTCTGCGTCCTCTCTGAAGGGTTTCTGACACAAAAGCTGCACCTTCTTTTCGTAGATGATACCATGGCGACTCACTGGTCGACACTGCATCTCTAGAATCCCTACCTTCACTTATTCCACTGTCAGATTTTAGCTGCACTGAACTGGAGGTTCCAGTTCCATCAGTCGGAGACAAGGTTGAGAGCTCTTCTACAGAAACTATACCAGAAGGTCTGGAACTTGATTCTGAGGCTGAACAGAGAGCATCTTGAGGGCTGTTAGAATTTCCTGTCACTAAATTCACATTTTGAGTTGCACCCAAACTTGTGGTGATCAAATCTTCTACCTGTTCCAGTTTAGAAATATGACCTTTAGAAATTGAAGATCAATAAGATCAATTCCGTAGAATTCGTTTATGATATTCAAGTAGGAGATGTGAATACAAATCCAACAACACTAAAAACAAACAACATAGGTAGTTACAAGAACCCTACCAAAGTAACAAACGATATTTGATATTAACTGAGAAAATGGAATCTACCTTCTTTTCCGGTTCGAAACTCATTATCTCGTGGAACGAACACATCAACCGAAATAACACATCAAGTGTTCTCAAAAGACAATGCCTAAACTTGGATTCAGGTATCTGAAGACATAGATCGCTGTAGGTAAATCTGAAAAGAAAGTAAGGTTATATCAGCAAGTATCGTACTTGAATACTGAGACAGATACCAGCAACTAAGATTACAGAGCATACCTAGTATTTTGCATGGCAGCACCATTGTCCTGCAAAAATAACTGGTTATCTACATGGAATACGTAAATAAAAGTTCCAATCATCTATTTATTTCAATACATTTTCAAGTCAGGTATGCAGTAAAAGGCCAGCAAAAAGCATTGTTACGTGAGGTACGAACTCAGGCCATGACATAGGAAAGGTAGCATCTAAGAATTCAAAGCAATTAAGATACAAATCCATACAAAATGCAGGCACCCATATCTTAAACATAATTATGTTCTCTATGAAAGCAAACTTATGAATAAATACTTCTTCTTCAAGCGTACCCGAAAATAACATAAAAGAAACTAGTAAATACAGAACTTGACCTTATCTGTGCTGAAGCATAAGTCATGACATGATTCTGTTCACAATATTACATTAGTCAAATGTACTTGTTCGAACAAAAACAGAAAACTAAATTGTGTTTCGAAAGACACATGCTATGACTATGTCCCCTATTTTACTATCGTTAGACTAAGAATTGACTGCTTAAATCTCAACATTTCTATGTAGAGATTGATGATAGAGTATGAGTAACAACAATCAAAATTGTATATCCCTCAGAAAGGTCATAGCATCTATCTATCCAAGAATAAATGACTTACAACTCAAATCAAACAACAAAAACTAATTAACCACATCTTGCACATGCAACAATTGAATATCGTGCTAACATACCTCTTGAGCAATGGCCTTCAGTACAGAATGGGTTTCTGAAATAACTTCCTGCATAAAAAAGCTTTGTATCTTCTCCGCAAGCCCAGAGACATCACCGATCAGTGCATAAGCATCAAGTACCTAAAAGTATAAGTATGCAAACAAGTGAGACTCATCTCTGAACTAGATTCTATCTCTTTCTACTTGCAAGAAATCATCTAAGAGAACTCAAGCAAAATAGAGGAATGTTATCAGACGGTAAGAGCCACAAAGCTCTTTTCTTCCAAAGAAGTCGAAAATAAGATGAGAGCTAAACAAATTTAACATGCAGCATTAGTTGGTTTACTAACCGTTAGATACCTCTCTTCTTTGAACTCCTGGCAAACTCCTAATAACAATGAATCCAGTTTGTGAAGAGTTCTTCCTAGCCAAACCTTTAAAAGAGTTGACGAAGTTTAACTGAGAAAGAGTTGACAATCACAAAGACAAGATTTGGCTATGAAAAATCTATATTCACCTCAACCCCATGGGTCATTTCTTGGATTGCTGAAAATTCAGAAAGACTATCAAGCAGCTGCAAGTACTCAGATAGAACTTGAAATGCCTACACAATCATGGAACACATTGTGGTTTCCTGTGAGTTCCCATAGGAAAATAGTATCACCATAATATTTTATGAAAAGACACAGTAAGGTACAACAGAAAGCGAAGAGAGGAGGACAACCTTGCAATAGTTGCCTTCCTCGACGAGGGCTTCAAGAGTTAATCGCATGTCTCTTGCATGACAAAGCTCAGTTAATATAGGAAGCATGTCCTGCAAGCGAAGACAATAAAACAATCTTGCTGCTCTAATTACATGTTATCCAGGGAGGCAAATAGGTATGACATACAAAAAAAGTCTCAACATCATAGACAGAAATCAGAACCAACAAGAACTCAGGAACTTGCTCATCAATTAACATTACACAGCAGATTTGAATCTAAAAGTACTAGCCATATAAAAATAGGACTTTCAGCAGGGAAGACAAAAAGCATGAAATGTCCAAGTAAACTGAAACAATTTGCAGAGCCAATGTCTGGAAAGTGGAAACAGAAGAGGAACTTACCAGAAGGGCTTGCTTCCTTTTAGAATGAGTGTTTACAATGAGATCTCTAGACACCTCGTTAACTGATGAAGTCAAATGCCTTCTTCCATTCTGTCAATAACATTAAAACAGCCACAATCAAAGTCATACTAGCAACAGGAAAAATATAAGTGGAAGCCACCAATACATTGCTCTTAATTCCGGCTAGAGATCATACATATCCTTACCTTGCAGATGACATTTGCAATCTTCAAATCTCTTTCCAATTCTCTAACCAAATTCATCCCCTTCACTGACCAAAAGTGAATATCAATATTCACAAAGGCTAATGATCCTCTCAGTCAACATGGGTTCACTTTAGCGGAACACAATAAGTCTTTTTTAATTTAGGAGCATGCGTGAATATCTTACTTACCCAAACCCAGTTTGATTAATATACACAGTGCAAACACCATGGTTACAGATGGAAACTATAGAAGATGTGAGGTTTATCAAGAGCACTTACCCATTACTTCATGATGCTCCATAACATGATGGGACAGATTTTCTGCTACTCTATCCAGCTGTGCCAGCCTTATGGTAGCCTGCGCAGCCAGAAAAAATTTCCAAACATTTATCTTGAAAAGCAGTTTCTAGAAAACAACAGAGCCTTTCTGTACAGACAGCGGAAACCCTTTCGAATATTTCTTTACTTCCGTATCTTTATTCTATTAAGATAACTGCAGCAATTTTGATTGGGCAAATATTGGCAACGAGTTAAGTAGAAGAATTAATGTAATACCCTGAAAAGGAAAATCAGGTAGTTGAGAGGGGGAACAATAAAATAGTACCTGCTTCTCAAAATAAGCATGATCATTCTCATCATCTGGCACATTCTCCAAAACATGCCTTACTGGATCAAAGTCCTACACGAGAAACAAATGATGAATTAACTTGTGACTTAGAGATGAAACGAAAGAATCCCTCCCAATACCATCAATACCAAAATACACCAGACAGATAGTACACAGATAAAAACACCTCCTCATAGAATCCTTCTTCAATCTCATCAACTTCTTGAGGGGGAGGACCACGTCCATATATGGAGCTCAGTTCATTAGAGCTTGAAGAGATACCCTGATCGGGATGCAGCCCTGCCAAAGCACGAGCAACAGCAGCTGCAGCAGCAGCACGGGCTGGAATCTACACAATACTTTGGTGATAAATTCTCATTATTCTCAAATATCCCATCGAATTGAAAAGCCATACGCTTTCATCTTTCAGAGTCTCATTAGAAGATTACTTCATTTATCAGTAAAAGAGGCATTCACTTAAAACAAGTGGCAATTTAAGTCATGATCAGAATTTCTTCCTCTGAAACTTGGGCAGCGAATAGAGCATAAGATGTGAGGATAGATAATAACTGTTTTCTCCACTAATCGCACCAATCAGAGGAACACGATAAAATCATCCAAACCAGTCAAGTTAGCAGCTGCAAGACCGAGTGACAGGACAGCAGTTAACTTGCTCAAATTTCAAACACAGAACTCAACAGAACGAAGCCTAAACTCTGCAAATCCTAAAACCGACACTCATGGGCATCTCCCTGTGCACATTTCCTCACCAACCAAACAGACAGAAGAGGAAAAATCAGAACAAGTTTACCTCAGGACGGTCCGAGGAAGAAGGAGAAGGCAAAAGTCCAAGCGATCTCGCGGACTTAACGGAGCTGATGATCTTTTCGCCGACCTTAGACAAATCCATCTCACCTCCTTGGGACAACAAGAAAGGAACCAAGAAGAAAACCCTAGAACTAGAGCTCCCGAAGCCTTCAGCACCAAACTCGCTCAGATCCCCGCCATTGAACAGAAACGGATTCCCCAAAACTGTGCCGAATGGGAAGAGATTGGGCTGCATCTCATCTCATCTCAACAGGAGATTTCCAGATCAATCCGATCCATCCACCACCATCGGGAACCGAAGTGAGAGTGAATGCCGATTCCAGGAAAGTCCGATCAGCCAAAAGGTCCCGTGAAAGATTTCCCCTACAAGCAACAGTGGAGTCTTGTCGTGTTATCCCCAAGTGCTACGAGAGTAGTAATGACAAGAACAGATCTTCGGTCGTGTCCTTTTTTTTTTTATTTGGAACCAGAGCTTCCTGTCTCGAGTGCGTTTCCCGTTCTTAACGGTCTGTTTGGTTGCCGAGAAAACTCGGGAAGAAAATTCACTACCCTGCTTTTGCAACCTTTTTGAATTATCGGATCATCAGATTTGAATTATCCGATCATCGGATTTGGATTGGAATTTCTATATATCTCTTTAGGACGGCATGGTAATTATTAAATATGTTTGTAGATTTTATATTTCAGAACTAGTTTTTTAAAAAATAAATTAAATTGTTTGCATTAATTATTTAAAATCTGTTATGGATTATCATTTTAAATCCTTACGAATTATTTTTCATTATATTTATTATAAAATAATTAAGAATTATTTTAATATGATAATTATTATCTTTTGTTGTAGACAACTATTAATATAATTTAAACTTAAAAACTATTTATTTTTGAGATTCTATATACCTTTACATCTCTAATTTTTTTTATACGATTCTGTATAAGTATACATTCGCGAATTGGTGAAAAATCGCATATCTTAATTTTATTTATTTTTTATTCAATGTTTCGATTCAAGACAGAGATGCAAAAATGTTTATATTTAGTGTGTGATTGTTAAAAAAAAAGATCAATATTATATGAATTAATTAATGCATTTTTATGTCTATCTGTATTTACACGTTATTCTCACAACAAATTTCTATCACTATTATTCCGTGTCACGAATGCATAATAAATAAAAATAAAAGCTCAAACTATTATCTTTTCATTATTGTCATTACAAAAAAAAAACGAATCGCGTATTGTAATATATAATACCTCGATACTGAAAAGAAAATAAAGTGGAGGAATATACCAAATTGCCCCTACAGCAAAATGTCATTTTCTTCCTTGGTTACAATATGAAATGTGTGTGCTCCCAAACATCACGTCTCTATCCAAACAAGAAAAGGTCAAAAAAGGAAATGCCTAAAAACATAAATTAGAAAGGCGGTGTGTCTCACACATGGCACCTTTTCTTTGTCGCCTTCCAAATAATTAATTAGCTTAATTTTCCTGATTAACAGGATAATTAATTTAACCGTAATCGATTAATCGTACCTGAACTTGGCTTTGGCTTCATCCCTCGACAACAATAATATATATTTTTTTCTGTTAAGAGTTCATTCAGAGAAAAAAAAAACATTTCGAAGGAACGAGCGATCACCGGGTACGAGGCAGATCTGGTGCTGATCGGCCAATCTAACTGCGTTGCCGGAGAGTCGCTGTGAAGTGGTAATGGCGACGATTCCGCCGGAGAACGGCGTCGAAGGAGACGACGAGAGGGAAGAGGAGGAAGAAGAAGAAGAGACGGAGGGTGAAGACGAGGAGGAAGAGGAGGAGGAGGAGCCGAGGCTAAAGTATCAGCGGATGGGCGGGAACGTGCCGGCGTTGCTGTCGAACGACGCCGCCTCGTGCATCGCCGTGGCGGAGCGGATGATCGCGCTTGGTACGCACGCCGGGCCGGTTTATATCCTCGATTTTTTGGGGAATCAGGTGAAATTTCAATCATTTCAGTGCTTGATTGCGGAATTTCGGAGTACTAGTTGAGTCCTAAGCTCGTTAATTTGGAAATTAAGATTGGAATTTGCTTGGGATTGCTTGAATTTATTGTGCACTCGTGCTTCTTGGCGACAAATTGAGCTCATTAGGTGGTTATGTGTGTCTTCTTTGTATTTTCTTCGGGAACTGTTCGTATTAGTACTTTTGAGGTGGTTGCTTAGCTGTAACGTTGTCCAGAAGAGGGAATATGTAAATGTTTTGTGCTAGTGATACATGTAGTTGCTGGTCATGTTCTTGTGTTTCGGGTTCAATTTTGAAATTTGTGGTAATTATGTTCGTTCAGGTTAAAGAATTCCGTGCTCACACTTCCCCGGTTAATGACCTTAGCTTTGACATAGAAGGAGAGTATATTGGAAGCTGTTCAGATGATGGGTCTGTTGTTATAAATAGCCTTTTCACTGATGAGAAGCTGAGGTTTGATTATCATCGCCCGATGAAGGCCATTTCCTTGGACCCAGAGTATACAAAGAAGCAATCAAGGAGATTTGTAGCTGGTGGCTTGGCTGGTCATTTGTATCTCAATAGCAAGAAATGGTTAGGTTACAAAGACCAGGTTGGTAATAGTATGGGTAAATCTGTACTGTGGGAAAAATTTGAAATTTCTTACAGAATTAATCAAGGCTAACCTTGTAGGTGCTGCATTCTGGGGAGGGCCCAATTCATGCTGTGAAATGGAGAGGAAGTCTCATTGCTTGGGCTAATGATTCCGGTGTTAAAGTTTATGATGCTGCCAAAGATCAGCGTGTTACATTTATTGAGAGACCACGGGGAAGCCCTCGTCCTGAGGTTTTGCTCCCTCACTTGGTTTGGCAGGTTTGTTTCAACACTTCGTATTATCTTGTTGACTTTTCTGACTTTTTAAATAACTCCGGGATTGAGTTCATAAACAGCTGCACGGGTGGTTTAAGGAATTTTTTGTTGTCAGGATGACACTCTTCTGGTGATTGGTTGGGGAACATCTGTTAAAATTGCATCAATAAAATCAGATCAACAAAAGGCTGCAAACGGAACATATCGGCATATACAGATGTCTAGCCTAAACCAGGTGGATATAGTGGCATCTTTTCAGACCAGCTATTATATTTCAGGGATTGCTCCCTTTGGCGATTCTCTAGTTATTCTTGCTTACATACCCGTTGAAGAAGATGGAGAGAAGGAACGTGCTAGCAGCATGTTACCACGTCAGGTACTTCGTCCTTGTTGGTTGTTGTACTACTTTTGGCAAAGTATGAACTTATTTCGGCCATCCTTCTATTCCTTCAAGACACTTGTTGAATTTATAATTTTAAATAATCCAGGGAAATGCCCAGCGGCCTGAAGTGCGCATAGTATCATGGAATAATGATGAACTTACCACAGATGCTCTTCCTGTACATGGCTTTGAACATTACAAGGCAAAAGACTATACCCTTGCGCATGCTCCTTTCTCAGGTCGTGATTTTGTTTGCAGAAGTAAATTGCTTTGTAGGGAAGAGGTGCTACTGTAAAATACTTATTCGATCATTTCCATGTGAGTGTAGGTAGCAGCTATGCTGGGGGACAGTGGGCAGCTGGTGATGAACCACTATATTACATTGTTTCTCCCAAGGATGTTGTAATTGCAAAACCTAGGTTGATTTTTGTTATCATCTATTCCTTTGTGTATGTTGTTCTAGTGATTTGTCATCGGAGTTTGGGGTTCCTAACTTATTCTGGATTGTTAGGGATGCTGAAGATCACATTAACTGGCTTTTGCAACATGGGTTCCATGAGAAAGCATTAGCAGCTGCTGAAGCTGGTCAAGGACATAGCGAACTACTTGATGAGGTACTTAGGAAAAGAAAGACGTGGTAGCATCTTTTATTTAACATATCCAACATCTCTGTTCATTCTTTTGTGCACCCCATCCTGCACGAAAATGGTCTGGAATGTTAAGTAAAGGGTGTGCTTGTTTTTACTTTCAAATATATGCAATATAAAGACAATCTTAGTCTGATGGTCCTTGATCCATTCAGTTAAGTGTCTTCAGTTTAGGTGTTTTAAGAGGCTAGCATCTTCAGTTTATGTGTTTAAGAGGCTAGCTGGTCTTGTAGGGCCAAATTCATCCATAGATTTTTTTGGTCGCAGCATGTCATCAGGACTTTAATAGAAAAATGCAGCACTTGGGGAGCATAAACAACCTTATAGTGTTACCACATCAGCTTCTTGTGTCTCATGGCGTTTTAATTTGCTTTAAGTTCTTTATATGTGTAGGTGGGTTCTCGGTATCTTGATCATTTGATTGTGGAGAGAAAATATGCTGAAGCGGCTTCTTTATGTCCCAAAGTGTTGCGAGGATCTGCCTCGGCCTGGGAGAGGTTTGAACTAATCAATACCTTTTTTTTTTTGGCTTTTTGTTGTTGTTGTTGTTAAAATTTTTTATGGAATATTTCTCGCCAGATGGGTTTTCCATTTTGCGCAACTGCGTCAACTGCCTGTCCTTGTTCCATACATGCCTACGGATAACCCGAAGCTGCGTGACACTGCATATGAGGTTTGTATATACAACGCTTTTCCTATGCATTTTTTTTTCTACTTTTCGTTTTAATGACGTCTTCTTTCTTTCCCCATGCCTCAGAGATTGATATGGCTTTTTTCTTTATGCTACAGGTTGCTCTAGTAGCAATGGCAACCAACAGTTCATATCACAAGGAGCTTTTGTCCACTGTTAAATCTTGGCCACGTGCAATATATTCTGCTTTGCCTGTTATCTCTGCAATAGAGCCTCAGCTGAACACATCTTCTATGACTGATGCCCTGAAAGAGGTCAGAATGAGACCAAAGCTTGTTATCTGCACATAAAAGCTTATTATATTTTAAAGATTTGGAGTTGTTTCATTATTTAATATTTCAGGCACTGGCGGAGTTGTATGTGATTGATGGACAATATGAGAAGGCCTTTTCGCTCTATGCTGATGTAAGCCTACTATTAGAGACACAATTATGCATTTCATGCTTTCCTTCTTGACCTGGTCTTATATCAACCTTTTTATATGTCTATAGTCCCCTTACATGCGCCTTTACCTTTTTACAGCTTCTCAAACCAGAAGTGTTTGATTTCATTGAGAAGTATAGCTTGCATGAGGCAATTCGTGGGAAGGTATAGGTCTCTTTCCTCAGTCAACATTTTAAAGCACAACTAAGTTGGCTTTTCCTTTATGATGAAAAGTTTCTTAATCATCCTTATCTTATTTGTGGCTTAGTGAGTCACATGATCTCTTATCTTACAGATTCTATCTTTTAAGTCTTTCTATCTTTGGATCACACAAACCCTTAATATATATTTCCTGGGCTTAACCTGTGTGAAGTTTATTTTTGCTTTAAGTGTATGGAACTTTTCTAATTCAGACTGCATAAGCCCCTACATCAATATGTTTGTGACCCTTTTATTCGCAGATGCGTTAAAGTGTGTTGGAGGTTTATGTATGCACAGTGTCTCTTCTGTGATGCAATTTTCTTGCTTATTGTCATATAACTGGTGGACTCTTGTTTCTTATCCATAATTTGTAGGTTGTCCAGTTGATGATGCTCGATTGCAAGCGTGCTGTTGCGTTATTTATCCAAAATAAGGATTTGATTTCTCCATCTGAAGTTGTTTCTCAGATTCTGAAAGCTGGCAAAAAGTGTGATTCACGATATTACTTGTATTTATATCTGCACGCATTATTTGAAGTCAGTCCAGATGCTGGGAAGGAGTTTCATGACATGCAGGTATGGGTAGTCAAAATCAGTTTACGAAATAACTGTGCTCTTCCTCTTCTTGATCAGCGACTGCTTTTGTGGTCTATCCTCCTTCAGGTTGAACTTTATGCGGATTATGATACTAAGATGCTGCTTCTGTTCCTCCGTAGCAGTCAACATTACACATTGGAAAAGGTACTATGTTAAGAGATTTGGATAAAACGAACTCTCTCGGACTGTTTATGATGAATAACATGATCCAATGAAATTAAATGTCAGGCATATGAAATTTGCGTCAGGGAAGATCTTTTGAAGGAGCAAGTGTTTGTGTTGGGGAGAATGGGAAAAGCGAAACAAGCTCTTGCTGTCATCATTAATAAACTGGGGGACATAGAAGAGGTACTGTGTTAGGACTCATGTTCGCCAGCCCTCTTTAGCTAATGTTCTGATGGATATGATTTTTTAATAACACAACTAACTAACTAACGATACGTAAGAATTGAACAATCCTGTGCAGGCCGTGGAATTTGTGTCCATGCAGCATGATGATGATCTCTGGGAAGAGCTGATCAAACAATGTCTGAACAAACCCGAGATGGTAAAGACACTTTGCTCAAATTGTCTCAGTTTCAGGAAATTCATGTACTTAATGTTGTTTTTCCCACTTTGTCCCAATTTGCAGGTGGGCTTGCTATTGGAACACACAGTTGGGAACCTTGATCCTCTCTACATTGTAAATATGGTCCCAAATGGCTTGGAGATACCTCGGTTAGTTTAACAAGTAGCTTGCATGCATAACTTCTCTCTACTTCCGAGTTTTTTTTTCTTTTTTTGAGTTACAATGATCGTTTTTTTTTATGTAATGTCACTCTTGCATAGACAAACTTTTCGTTACAACGAATCATATCCAACACGAGATGGCCTCATGTAGCAATCGGTTTAGTCAAAGCATAATGCTTCCTGATATTTGTTTCTTCTTCTGCTTTCAGACTGAGGGATCGTTTGGTAAAAATCATAACAGATTACAGAACAGAGACGTCGCTTAGACACGGCTGCAACGACATTCTCAAGGTACACAGCTCACTCTCTCTTCATCTCTCTTCGTGACACCGACGGCGTCTTTTTTAGGAAATCTGAACAGCTAAGCAATTGATTATGTGAATAACGCAGACCGACATTGTGAATCTTCTCGTCAAGTGTTTCAACGAGGCGAGACGAGGGGTGTGTCTAAGCAACGAAGAAGATGATTCCCGTGCGAAGAGAGAAAGCAGCAGAAACAGTTCGTTTTCCCAGAGAAGAACGGATAAATCTCCGAGCCTAAGAATGACGGAAATCAAGTCCAAGACCCGAGGAGACACCCGTTGTTGCATTTGCTTTGACCCCGTCTCCATACGCGGCGCCTCGGTTGTCATATTCTTCTGCTGCCATGCTTACCACATGACTTGCCTCACCGACGCAGCGTTTAGCAACGGCATCAAGAATTCATCCTCAGCTTCCAAGGGCTCGGGATTCGATTACGGGTACGATCACGAGGACGAGGATAAGGATGACGATGGGGACGAGGAAGATACGGGTCGGCCACGGTTGCGGTGTATTTTGTGTACTACGGCTGCTGCTGCGTCTGCGAGGTAGCCCGACCATTCTCTTTGTGTATTTGTGTGTGTATTTTTTTTTTTTTTTTTTTTTTTTTTGAAGAAAGTTCTTGTAACCTCCTTAAGTCCATAGCCAAAACGAGAGGAGACTGAGAGAAAAGTGAAGTGAGATTTTGATTGGACCTGTAAGCTAAGACTGGCGTTTTAAATTATCCATGTGATTTAATTTTTTATGGTTTGAACCACAGTGTGTGAAATATTTGTCTCTTTTTTGTGAAACATTAAGGTATTCTTTTTTCTCTTGATCGTATTTCTGCCCAACGATTCCGTTTATGTTCTGAAATTGGATACATTCATTTTCATATATATATATATATTGTATTTGTATATTTTGAGTACATATGATTGGCCAAGCGGATCTATCCAAACCAATTTAATACCCTTCCCCTGTTTCAATTTGGGTCTGCTCTCATCTCTCTGGGAAAATAAACCGAAAACCGGGTCAAAAAGCTTAAACCAAACATTGGAATTAAGGATCACCGGTTTATCCACAACCAGATTCGGTTCGCCTTTTATTTTCCGGTTAGCCTTTAACCACTATGTATAATGTATGTTTACATATGTATATGCACCCTCGCACGATATTCGTGCCTACAACGGCTTTTTGCCCAGTAGGGTTTTAAGGGGTCTCGGCGAAAAATCTGATCTTCGAAAATGGCATTGGCGACGAGACTGAATCGTATCCTTAAGCAGCATCAGAGTACTGTCTCAGTTCTCCCATTTCGAAACCCGAATCAAGGGCTCTTCCTTGCCCATGGCGAGAATCTCAGTCCTCACGTTTCACAAGTTCCGGCTCTTCTATCCTCCACTCGCTCTTTCCTCGATTTCTATAAGGTAGGGGTTAAACTGAAGTTGAATATGCTTTTCCGTTTGATTCCGGCGGAAACATGAAAAACTATAGCTTCAGATGTCAGAGAGATACTGACTTTTGGTGGGTGGTGTTTTGATTTGGCTTTTGGCAGCTTGGGAACAAGAAAGCCATTGAAGAAGAACGTGCTAGACTGTAAGCTTCGCTTCCTTTAGCTCTTTGCTTATTTTGGAATTAGACTGGGATTCAGGATTGAAGACTCGTAACATTTGGGCATATTGATGGGTTTACAATTTTTTTTTTTTGTTGAATTGATGGGTTTACAATTTACTGTCGCTTTCGAGATTTTGTGTGAGTGAACCAGAAGTTAATCAGTTGTATTCGATGTGATTTAGGACAGTAAGGATGAGATGACTCGCGGGTACTTCATGGATATGAAAGAATATGGCATACATGGTGGTAAGGTAATGATGCCTCCAGTATGAAAAGATCGGAGTTCAAGGTGGATTGTTTTCATCAACTACTGCTTGAACCGTAGAAATCGTTTCGTTTGGTAATGCGGGTTTTCCAATTCATTTTGTATTCTAAAGACCCGTTTTCCAATTCATTTTGTACTTGGTGATGGGCGATTTCGGTCCTGTTGGGTATTAGGTGAGGTATCTCTTTCTCATGTTCCTTAGCTGTTAATTTTTACGGTTTTTGCAGGTAGCAGCAGCAAATAAGACTCTAATTCCTGAAGCATTAGCAGCTGCTGAAGCTGGTCAAGGACATAGCGAACTACTTTATG